AGTCTGATGGACTTCCGTCGAGTGAACGTGCTAGATGAGGCTCAACTTGGTACGATCCTAGGAGCTGCGCTCGCAGCAGAGCGTGGTGAGAGATCCACCGAGCCTGAGACGCTTGACGGCTATGAGATCAGTGTGGGGATCAGAGAAAACTATTTCGAAACCAGCTTGGAGCGATCTAAAATTACTACTAAGGAAGGTAGGTAATGGGCCGTATCGCGGTTCTGTACTTGCTTTAATTCTTAGCCCGTAGATGTCGAGCAGAAAGCAGAATTGGAGCTTTGAGCCAGAGACACCGTGCAAATCAAGCTTGAACCAGCGGAAGTATCAAGATGCACCGGCGTAAGTCGAGAAGTTGGACGTTTGTCGTGCTTTGATGATCCAAACATGAGCGCGTCAAAATGCAACAACGCTACACAACTCGGTGCACCACGCGTATAAATCGCCTTGAAAGCTGTGGGCGCTATGCGAATGTAGATGCACTTGTAACTGTCAGTCAGATCGAGCAGAGGCGCAGCAGGGTCCTTGGCCGGCAGCGTCACATGCCTCAAGAATGTTTGGTACAAAAATCCGGTTGCCTGATGATGCCCCGCTCGTTCGTCACTTTATCCGAAGGCACAGCCTCACGCGTTCCCACATTTCATAGCAAACAGCCACGGTGTTGGTGTGCAATGAACAATGGCCATGTGGCGTTGGCCAATACGTGACTAGGGCGGTGCACCGGCGGGGGCTTAGCAGGTAAGCGCGTCAGCTTCGGCTCTTGCCAACATCGCAAGGCATACATTATAACCTGACCTTCCATCTCAACCTTGTCAATTCCTATCTCAAGAATCAGCCTTGTCCGACTTTCTCAATCCTCTGTCACGCACCAGAACCCTTACACGCAAATAGCAAGATGGGTGTATGTTATCAGCCAGCTCCTTAGCTACCCCTCCACCCCACCATCGTCATAGCTAACCAGGCGAAGCTCGCATCTAAGATGCAGGCGGCTCAGGCTGCATCTGGCTATCCTCCGCCCGGTGGACAAGGCGGCTACGTAAGTCTTCAAGTGAAGAGTAATGTTGGCAATGATTCACTAATGCAACGTAGCCTGGACAGCCACAGTATCAAGCGTATCCAGGTGCCCAAGGTGCCGGTGCTCCCGGGGTAAGCCCAAAGCTCTTTCTTTCTCTTGTCACTTGCTCTGCGTCGTCATCGCCCTTCCCTACCCGCCACTTAAGACTGGGCATTCGCAAGCCTCTTCCCTAGTTCTCCACTTGCTTTTGGCACCAATAAATTATCGCACGCCCGGCATCCACTCTGGCCTTTTTCCGCCACACTTTGTTCCTGGACCTAGCCACACATGCCTCTATCAAGCAAGATGTCATCTAGCTATACTGCCTATCAGCCCAACGCCGGGCAGGCGCCAAATCCTTATGCACAACAACAACAGCCTGGCCCTCCTATGCCTCCGCGTCCTGGTTCGTATGCGCCGCCGCAGTCGCCTTTTGCGCAACCGGCAGCCCCAACTCCTTACGGCGCATCGTCTCCGTATCCACAAGGGCAATCAGGGTATAGCAGACCCCCGCCACCACCGCCAGGACAACAGCCTTCATCTCCGTATTCTCAATCGACATTCCCACAGTCCCCACAACCAGGTCAAGCGCCCCCCGCGCAATGGAATCAGCCACAGGTCCCGCCGCCGTATGGACAGCAACCACCACAACAGCCTTACCAGCAGCAAAGCCAATGGGGTCAACCACAGCAACCCGCTTATGGACAGGCGCCGCAGCAATATGGCCAACCTTACGGCCAGCAGCCCACTTTCCAACCGAATGTTCGTACTAATTTAGATTTTTTCGATTTTCAAACCCACGTATGAGCAAAGACGCAGAGCTAGTGACTTTCCGCGCAGATTTGTGCAGAGACTAACGTGATATTAGGGTGGACCACCAGGACAGCCTCCGCAGGGCCAGTATGGCGCACCTCCACCACAAGGAGGATATGGCGGCGGCCCGCCCCCTCCCCAACAGGTTCAGGCCGGACCAGCTGAGATCGCGGGCTACAAGCAGCTTCTGCAAGCCTGCATCCAAGAGAAGGGCCTCCAGAACTTCCCAATCTGCCAACATATTGACCAGATTGCTCAACAAGCGCCCGCGAAGATCAATCAAGTCATCTCGCGCTGGAAGATCCAGAAGGAGATTGCCAATGACATTGTAAAGCTAGCGCTTTACGACATCGTGCTATACATCGGTAAGTTGCTCAGCTCGAGAATCGTGATCAAGCTGACACCCATTAGATGACAGTGGATCCATGCAGTTCGAAGAGGAAGGCAGCCGTATCACAGATTTGCGCCTTATTTTGGACCGAGTCTCGTTCGCTGCAACTCTCTTTGACAACGATGGCATCTCTGTCCGCTGCATGAACACCGATCTTTCGGGAGCTCGCAACCAACAGGGTCGACCACTTCAAGATGGCGTCGCGACTGAGGCTCAGGTCGCAGAGATCATGCGTGGCGTCAACTTCAAGGGCCTCACACCCATGGGTACCTCTATGGACAAGAAAGTCATCCAGGAGATAGTACTCCCAAAGGCACGCTCAGGACAGATGCAAAAGCCAGTATTGGTCATTGCCATCACCGATGGGCAGCCAGCGGGAGAGCCTTCCGGCGAGATCTTTAAGGTCATCAAGGAGACTTACAGACAGCTCCAGTCGACGCCCTACGGCCGTGGTGCTGTCGCTTTCGAGTTTGCTCAGGTAGGAAACGATGTGACCGCAAGGAAATTCCTCAGTCAACTCGATGAGGAACCCGAGGTTGGCCCTATGGTTGACTGCACGTCCAGTAAGTCTCATACGATCCAGACTAGACCTGTGCTAACGCAGAATCAGACTTCGAAAACGAACAGGAAGAGATGATGCGCGCAAACCCTCCTGTCGATCTTACACCCGATCTTTGGATCATCAAGCTTCTTCTCGGTGCCATTGATCGAAGCTACGATTCGAAGGACGAGAAGAGCAACCCTGCACCTGGCGGCTACGGCGCACCACCTGGCCAGTATGGCGCACCTCCTCCAGGTTACGGCCAACAGCCACCCCAGGGCTATGGCCAACAGCCGCCGCAAGGCTATGGACAGCAGCCACCCCAGGGTTACGGTGCTCCCCCTGGTCAGCATCCGCCCCAAGGATACGGTGCTCCACCCGGCGCACCTCCACAAGGCTACGGTCAACAAGCACCTCCACCAGGTCAGTATGGCCAGCAGCGACCGCCCCAAGGAGGCCCCGGCGGTTACCCAGGTCAGCAGCAGTATGGCCAACCCCCACCCGGCGGCAGATACTAGGAGTTGGGCCATGTAGCTTTTCCCAATGGCGTGAGTACTCGTTCAGATGATGGCTCAGTGTGGGACTGGCATAACCCGTAGGTTCTGAGAATCGTCACTGGCGAACGTTTTCGAACAATTTTACGCGACATGTCATTACGACTCTCTTTACTCCGTGAGCAGTGACTATCTTCTTTAGAAGATACTGCCGGACGTATCTTTCCGCAATAGGCAACCTTGCAGACAGTCTAGTACTTGACTAAGAACTTGCTTTATTAAATACACATGACGCGTCGTGTGAAGTGATCCTACCCTTTATACGCCGCAATCATCGTTGTCCAGCACGCATCACGATTCACAACTTCAAGAGGTGGGATATGGAATGTGAAACTACACGATGCTTGAAGCTTTGTTTAGCTGTCAAACAGACATGGCATATCCTGCGAGCTGGTGCGTTGTTGAAGCCGCGTTCGCATAGCGTTTGCGACACTTCACCAGCCGGCTAGTACAAATGAAATTCACTGGCTGAGCGGACTATTTATGTGGCTACTATGAGTTTCCGACTTTGATACTCACCAATCCAACTACTTTTGACTACTAGCAGATCCCGACATCTCCAATCGCCGCAAAGTCCCCAACACCCGAAGCGCAATCATGCCAACCAGCCCTGCACAACTCCACGGCGCAGCCTTGATCGCATCAACATACCACATCACCATCAAAGTCCTACCACCATCATCATCTAGCCACTATCTCACGCACATCCGCGCTGTCGACAACCCTGCAGAAATCGCTCGCGCCCGCGAACACCGCTCATTCAGAACAGCAGCAAACGACTGGAAACACGAGCACTTTACATGGAATTCTTCCGACATGGACCGCGGCCTGAACATCAGACCAAGAATCAAATGCGAGCTGGAGTGGGAGAGAGACAAGGAAGATGAGGAGACGGCGCGGGATATACGAAATCTAGCGGAGCAGAAGGGTGAAAGGGTGCCAGATAAGCGAGAGGCGCTCGCTATGGCTTGGTTAGCGAGGGCGGGCCAGATGGCTGTTGGTGAGTGTGGCGTTTGTCCAAGTTTGGCGGTGTTTTACGATACTAATGAGGTGTTAGGTCGTGCCATATACGAACCTGATTTCGGCGTCAGGGATGAGAAGGAGTTCTTGATCATCAGCAGTAGAGCCGGAGAGTCCGTGGTGGCAAGCCTGTTTGTCGATGGTAAGGAGGAGAAGAAGTTTGTTGCGAAGGCTGTTGGGGAGAATCATTTCGACGCTGTTATGATGCTGGAGAATGATTTGGTTGAGCACCACAGGCGGAAGATGCGGCGTTAGTATACGACGAGGTTGCAAGGAGACTGAAGTGTCGGCCTTGATGCGATGGATCTGTATGCATACGCCCTCAGGGCCTGTTACATGGAGTTTGGAGACGCGTGTATTATATTGGATGATATTCTTCATGGGGACTAGGTATGTATGTTGAAGCGTTCTATCGTTCTATGAATTGGATGCTTCTTAACTGTCTCGCACCTCCGATTGCTATACAATGACGTAGGACCTAGAGGCCCGGGTCCTTGAGCGTTTGTCCGCCACGTGCAGCTAGATCTTTCATCCTTGGATCGCTATGCTACCCACGTAAAGTCAACAGATCACAAACCGCAGAGACGATATCTCCCACCAACCCTCAAATCAACCCCATGCACGTTCCAGATGGCCACTATGGATGAAATAGATCGCCGGTTTACGAGCGGCTTCAACGCTGCTGTTGAGCTCCGCGAACAGGACGAATTCGATCAATGTACCGAGGTCTTGCGCAAATTACTCGCTGATTGCGCTATTCCTAGATACCACCGTATGAGGTGTCTCACAATGCTTGCATGCACTTTAGAAGACTGGCATGAGGCATACACCTGTTACGTCAAGGGTGAAACCATATGGCGTATCACGAAGCAATGGCATCGTAACAGCACAAACCCGACCGTGAACAGAGCGCTGGATGAACTTCATGAGGCTTTGGAAGACGTAAAGTGAGTACTCAGGTCCACTCTACATGATTCCAAGAAAGAACTAAAATGTATACGTTTAGGCTAGGCTTACTCGAAGACGACATACGACCTGAGGACACACCAGTTCCGGATGTTGAGGCCGATGTGCTTTATGCGATAGCAGTATACACTGCTGGGGTGGAGGAGAATCATGAGATCGTGGAGGCAGAGGAAGAGACGTGGTTCGAAGACGAGATGAGCGACGAGGACATGGGCGGTGAAGAGGACGTGAGCGATAGGGAAACGATGGTCGAGGTTGAGCATACATTGAACGGCAAAGAGGAGAGCGAGGCGCAGAAGGCTGGCGAAGAGGAGACAGCGCTACAGGATCAAAAGCCAAAGGGCGAGATGGTACGTCTGAAAGCTATTGCTGTTGAAGAGGTTGTGTTGACATCGTGCAGGTGCTACCATACCGTCCACCACACATACGCTGACCAAATTTGGGTAGAGACAGGAAATCATGTCAGAGAAGTCCTTGAGGCCACATGCTTGATTGAGCACCCAAGTTTGAGTCTACGATAGACGCAGACCAGGATAGGCTGGACAACCCAGCATCTTTGTCGGCGTCTAGGATATCGATTCCTACACACAACCTCTTCAAGACCTTTCTGTAGCGAGCAAAACATGAGCGTTTGTCAGGAATGAAGTGGCTAGATTTTGTCATGGACGAGATACTCCACTCGCCACATGCACCTTCCGCTGTAGCAGAAGCGAGCCAACGGAAAAATCCCATTCAATGTCCGCAACCTTGCAACGGTCTCGTGTGACGAGTGTGACTCCAACGTGCACGCTATATGATTACTATTCGTTGCTCTCTCGGTATTTAGATTGCTCGCTTGCGGCTTCCCGGGGAGAATAGATTACCCCAGACGAAAACCAGGGAGGCGCGAAGCGCGCCGCCGTGCGCCACAACCACATTCGGATGCGGTTTCAATATCACAGCAATATCAGTTTCCTCGCCTGTGACCCGACTCCTGAGCCATCAAAGATCTTGGAAGCTACACGGCGGGCAGCATGTGTGTGGACATGGAACAACAAGCTATGCTTCGCCTTAGTGACTATGCCCATTACTGTTACAGAGGACTAGGCAATGACTTGTAATCATCTAACAGTACTATGTGATCCTTGACTTACCTGAAACGATCGGTCGATGTGCTCCGTCTCTGATCGGGAATACCATGAGAAGCCATACAGACTATGAAGACCTTTGAAGACATATAAGAGCAGGTAGAAACAAGTGCGACAGATCAGCATCAAAGCAACAACACTCGCTACCATTCTATCACTCTCTTCATGATGTACACATCCGCACTCCTCCTCGGTGCCCTCACCGTCCTTCTAGACACAGCATCCGCCCACGGCTTCGTCAAAGGTGTCAACGTAAAGGGCACCTTCACCAACGGCTCAGACCCCGTGTGGTACTACTTCTCCAAAGACAGCCGCCCCCAAACCGCAGGCTGGGATGCGTTGAACCAAGACATCGGTTTCGTCGAGCCCGCATCCGTCGGCACAGCGGACGTCAACTGCCATAAGAGTGCCACTGCGGGACGTCTCTACGCTAACGTCAACCCGGGGGATACCATTGAGTTTGAGTGGAACACTTGGCCTGATAGTCACAAGGGGCCGATTATTAACTACATTGCGCCTTGCAACGGTAAGTCGGCTACATGAACCAGAACAGCATGCACTCTTACTGATCGCTTGTTTCATACAGGCGATTGCACCACTCTGACCCCCAGTGCTCTCCGCTGGTCTAAGATCTCCCAATCCGCCATTGTCAGCCCAGGAACTTGGGTTACAGACACGCTCATTAAGAACAAGTTCAAGGTCTCTACTGTGCTTCCCGCCAAACTTGCTCCTGGCAACTACGTTATCCGTCATGAGATCATCGCTCTTCACGGTGGTCAGAACGTGAATGGCGCGCAGCTGTACCCTCAGTGTAAGTCTCTTCATCTTCCAGGCTGCTTTCGATGTAAAAAGATCATATGCTAAGTATTGCTGTAGGCTTGAACCTCAAGGTCGGTGGTAGCGGCTCTGTTGCACCGACGGCTGGCGTTCCTGGTACCAGCTTGTACACAAAGGACATGCCGGGTATCGTGTTCAACATCTACACCAATCCTACGACTTACACGTTCCCTGGTCCGGCGCTGTGGACTGCTGCTAACTAGGCGCTGTTGTCAGAGCTCTGTGCTCGAATGCAGAGGATTGGACGACTATGGGCTCTAGGGCCTTGGTTCTGAACTTGCGACTGACAATGTCAACTGCGGGCGGGTGGTGAACGAGTTCTCTTCGTGTTTATACTTGGTTGTCTTGATATGTACATAAACCCGACATTCTTTTATCGGATCGCACCTCGAATTGCAGGCGATCTTCAGAGGGCTCCGTTCAGTGTCTTGTGTAGGCCTCATGAGTGAGACCCGTGAATGTAGCTGGTTCAGCAGGCGACGCGTGAGCAAACTGTCCGTTGGCATGAGCGCGTGAAGTTTTGTAGAGGTATATTGCAAGCCTAGCTCGATGCCTAGAATTGAAACAGTAACACTAGGAGGACTGATCAGCCAACCATGGGTGAAAAACGCCAGACTCCTCATTTCCCTTTTGAACAATACACTCGACACACGGTCGATCATCTTCTCCTCCACTTGTCGCATTGCTCTCACTTCTTGACTGTCTTAGCAGCCTTGCCAACAACCTTGACCAGCTCTCCGTATGCCTCGGTGAACTCCTCGTCGCCCTCGCCGGCCTTCTTGCCCATCCTGTCCTTGCCGATCATGACCACACTGGTGGGTCGCTTTGTTGCGCTTGCCTCGCCGAGCTGCGCGCGGCTCTTGATGTAGATGTAGGGTACGTTGTGGTCTTCGCAGAGAACGGGGATATGCGCAATGACGTCCATGGGCGAGATATCGGCGGCGATGACAACAATGGCGCTGGGCTCGTCGAGGGAGGATCCGGCCCCGGAAGCAGCGGACTTGCGCAGCGCTTTTACGACTTCCTTGACACCGCGACGGAGGGTCTTGGACTTGGCGGCTGTAGCAGGATAAACGTCAGTCTTGTTCTTTCAAGTGCGCCAACAGGCCAATAAATGAAAAGTGAGAAACATACACTTCTTGACGGTCTTGAGGATCTTCTTGACCTCCTTGTCGTTGTCTGCGAGCGGGAAGGCAAAGGGAACGAGTGCGCCGCGCGGCTCATCACCGTCCACGACGTTGACCATTGAGACTTCTGGCTCCTTCTCGAGCTCAGCCTCGAGCGCGTCTACCATCTCGACATCGCCCTTGACCTTCTTCTCCTTCTTGTCCTTTTTGCTCTTGGACACGCCGTCTGTCTCTGCGCGCTTTTCCTTCTTTTCCTTCTTGTCCTTCTTCTCCTTCTTCAGCCTCTTCTCTTCGATATCTTTAGACATTGTGTGGGTAAGCGACTGTAGGTTTTGGGTAGGAATTAGAAATGCGAAGATGTGGTGGCTGGTAATGCGTCGTGCTGAAGTCGGTTTCGCGAAATTTTGGAAGAGAATGAAGCTTCATCTAGCGGGCCCCGGGGTGGTCTGTGCGACTAGTGGCCTTTTCAAGAACCTCCAGGGCTTGGAATGCTCAACTTCGCGAAGAACACAAACATCACAGCAAGGCAGATATCAATTTGCGTTCATGTCATGATGGCATAAGAAGACGTATTCATACAGTACTATTTGAGACCGATTTACACCTTGACTTCATATCCACTACCGTAATATCTCCCATCTCCGTCACCGCGAAGTCGAATCATGACATACTATGGTATATGTAAGGAAATAGCCCAATGCCACCAAGAAAAGGCATTACCGAAGTACAGGCAAAAAGAAATAGATATTAGCAAGAATGCAACAAAGGCAGCGCTAGTAGCAGAACCGAAGTGAAGCAATAACGCGCCTAGGGCCAGCCTTCAACAGTCCAGAAATGCCGATGGGTATGAGCGAGGGAGAGGTATTAGAAGAATGCCAAATGAGTAGAGCATGAGCTCGAGAGTGTAGGAATCTGGACCAGACCCGCCCTGTGCGCCGTATTACCCCGATCTTGAGAAAAATGAAATGAAATGAGATAAACAATAGACCGATGCTGGGGGCGCCAAACTCCTTGCCATGCTCCCAGGTGCAAGGAGAGGACGAAATATAGGAAGGAAATCCACAGTCTGTAAAAGTAACGCGACATGGAAACAAGATCGTGGAAGATCGCGACCAGTTCCGGAAGCTGTCTCTCGCTTAGTAGGCCATCTGCATCTCGAGCACCTGGACACCACCAGCAGCCATTGATGGCGTAGCGGATCCGGAACGAGACGACATGGCATCTTCGTAGCCAACAAGTGCTTGCGAATGTAGCTTGAAAGCTTCGCCCATAAGTTTGGTGATGCTAAGTATCGTTAGTGCCAAGTTACTGAAGAACAAATAGGCATTTACATACCCCCAAACGACGACCTCGTCGATCATGCTGCCCCATAGTCGCGCGACAGTGGAGCTCAGCTTTGCACCGTAGACATCCACGGAATCGTCGTCAAACAGATTGCGCAGCTTGTTGTACATGGCCAGCTCCTCCTCGGTAGCTGGCTCTTCGTCGTGCTCCAGGCGGTAGAGCCATAGTGTCAAGATGACCATCAGATCCATGCCGGTAAGTGGATGCTCGATGCTCCAGTTGGTAGCGGAAGTTCGGGCAACCCAGCGTATGCCTTGCACGGCAGCAACCTCGATGCAATCGAAGCATTCTTGGATGACCTTGATCATCTCTGGTGAACGCTGGACCTTGTCGCGGGCATTCGTCATAGCAGCAGCTACTTCGTAGGAGTCGTGATAGCGGAGAGCTTCTTGAATGGACTTGAGATCGACCACGAGTCGGGCCCTGGTATTCCTGTACAGCGCCATGGCGTTGAAAATGAGAGGATGGCCCTTGTGTGGAGCGCTCAGTTGGACAACGACTGTCTCAGGCTCGCAGAGCTCAAGCGACTTCTCCCATGTCTCCAGGGCCAGGCGAAGCTTGTACTCGGTGACTACGTCTTGGAGAGCTTCAGGGCTACGCTTGTGGTACCATACTTCGAGGAACAGTGCGTTGATCATGACGCGTGTCGCGAAAGCACTGTAACGAGCAGTCTCGCCTTGGAATAGGTTGTCATGCGCTTGGCGGAACGTGATGATCCTGGAAGCACTCAGGCTCTCGCGCCAGGCTTCGTCATCTGAAACCTCCATGGTCCAGAGCGACTCCGAAGAAGGCAGCTCCAGGGTGTCGAACTCGTTGAAACCCATTGCAGGAGTGTGGTTGTAGGTGAGCGTCAGTAGGCCGAAGAAGATATAGACCGCATAGTAAGTCCGTCGGCATTGCTCGTCGACAACCCATTCTTCGTGGTTTGGCTGAGCGCCATCACGAGCATCTGATCGGAGCTTGAGCTCGTACCGATTTCCAGCGACCATCTACGATGTGTTAGTGGCGATCGTGAGCAAGACACACTTATACGTACGTTGGCAAGAAGACTCTTAATCGAGCAAGCCCACTCAAGGCCCTTTGGAT